GGCCTGGTGCACTGGGAAGACCCAGAGGGATGGGGTGGAGAGGGAGGTGGGAGGGGGGACCGGGATGGGGAATACATGTAAATCCATGGCTGATTCATGTCAATGTATGACAAAAACCACTACAATACTGTAAAGTAATTAGCCCCCAGCTAATAAAAATAAATGGAAAAAAAATAAATAAAATAGGTGTGTGTGTGTAGTAAAGAATTTGATTTTGGCCAAAGAGTAGGTTGCCCTTTGTCCTCAGATTCTGGGTGAAAAATCTATTGCTATATGACAGAATGTCTTTGTTTAGGGTGAGGGCTAGTCACACTAGAAGACCGACTCTGTGCCTGAGTGGGGGGCTTTGGGTCACACAGTGTCACTTGACCTGGAAATTGAGTTCATTCACATGAACAATCAGTCGATCATGCCAATATGTTGATAACACAGTTACAATGAAAACTCTGGACACTGAAGCTCAGGTGGGCCTCTGGTTGGCAATGCTGTGTGTGTTGTCACATGTGAGCACCAAGAGGACAAATTGTCCTGACTCCTAGGGAAAAAGACAATGAAAACTTTCTGTTTGAAGCCCATCGATTTCTGATCTGTGTGCCTCTTCCTTTGGCTTATATTAATATGGATCCTTTGCTGAATAAACCATAACCTTGACTATAAGAGGTTTCTGTGAGTTCTAGAGAGTTCTTGTAGCAACTTCCTGAAACTGAGCAGGGTTTTGGGAACGCTTTGAACTTGAAGTTGTGTCAGCAGAGAAAGCAGTCTGGTGAAGGACTGCCTCCTCAACCTTTTCATTTTGGCCAACACTGGGCAGTGAGTGTATGTGTGCATGTGTGTGCGTGTATATGCATATTATAACACTGGAGTTGTAATGAGAACAGCCGGAGGCTATAATATATTAATCAACCTTAGATATTTTTCTTCCTTGCACCTTTTTTTAATTGGGGTATAGTTATTTTACAATATTGTGTTGGTTTCTGCTGTACAATGAAATGAATCAGCTACATGTATACGTATATCCCTTCCGTCTTGAGCCTCCCCCACATCGCACCCATCTAGCTCATCATAGAGCATCGAGCTGAGCTCCCTGCGCTATGCAGCAGGTTCCCATTAGCTATCTGTTTTATACATGGCAGTGCATACACGTCAACCCCAACCTCCCAACTCATTCCCCCACCACCAGTGTCCACCCATCATTCTCTTCATCTGTGTCTCTATTCCTGCCCTGCAAATAGGTCCACCTGTACCATTTTCCTAGCTTCTATATATATATATGTGTGTGTTAATATACAATATTTGTTTTTCTTTTTCTGACTTCCTTCGCTCTGTATGACACATTCCCTGTCCATCCACATCTCTGTAAATGACTCAAGAGCATTCCAATGCTATGAGATTAGAAATCCTTTCATCTTTATATTCAACTTGCTGACCATGACACCTTTCCTACTGGTCTTTTAGTTCAAAACCAAACTCTGGTTATTCCGGGGCGGGTGTCCTGCTCACACCCACATGTATGTGGTACTCATCTGCAGTTCTTGCCGGTCTGTGTTTACTTGGCCTGAAACTCTGCTTAAAGAAAGAGAGTGGATTCACAGGAGTGATATTTTTCCTGCATAGATTTGGGACTTCATAAATCACAGTGACAAGAAATGCGATGATGGTTTCTTTCTGTTCTTGAGAAGATTGGAACAGGAGAGGCATGCAGGTTCCAGTACGGTTTTGTAATTTTTCCCAGTGGTAGCACCATGAGAAGGATTCCAGCAGGGTGGCTTCTCAGCCCTAAGTAGGTAATTCTCTAGCTGAGTGTTCCTGCAATGAAAACGCAGCGACATCCACCAGTGTCACTTGGGCCGTTTAGTGCCTGCTGCGGAACTCCTGGCAGATAATGATGAAATTGTCAAGATTTCCTTTTTTGTTCCCTTCCAAGCAGGCAGGGCATCGTTTTTATCCCCCAGTTTAGTACATGAATCAATCCTTTTGTACGTGATTGGTGGGACTGTGCATGCTTTCAGAAACTGTCTGGCTTCATACCTGGTAGACTGGCTTGTTGAGCAGTAGTTCTGCAAGTGAGAAAGAAAAAGTGATGATTTTCACATGTCCCCACATTAAATTGTAAAGCAGTCAAAAAAGATTGCTATATTCTTGCCTGGTATTTGGTTTTGGTCATTTTCATTCTTAGATATATGCCATCCAGAAATTAAATATAAGAAGATTATTTAAAAATTTGGTATTTGCAGATTGTGGTTGATAGGGGAGGAGACACATGTGGCAAGGTGGACAGGTAGAAGGAAAAGGAATACCTAGTAAATGTTTTAATTCCTGTAAAGCTTGATGTGCTTGAATGGTATATATTTCATTTTCCAACAATACTTCATTGCAAAAAAATCTGTCCAGTTTGGTTTAATTCCTGCCTTGAGGCCATTCACAGGGCACTCTCTAAGTAAAGCCCCATCCATGCCTCCATGCATAAAGGACAAGGGGTTATGCATCAGTTAACCTGTCAGAAAACTTTTGTCAAAGGAATATCTATAGTAAAAACAATTTCATTTGTCTATGGAATAACCACAGTGAAAAAAAATTCTAAGATTTGGAGATCAACACACGTTCATGGGTATAGTACTTTCGAGAGACCAGAAAAATACAGAAATATTACAGGAAAAATTAAAAGTCGATCTTACTTTGCTGAAGTTAGAAGACATTTGGGTTGAAAGCAATCCCTGGTAAAATTAAAATTTGATTTATTGTATAAATGCTCATTTTCATCTAGCTTATTTAGGAAGAAATTGTGTTAGTAGTTCAATCGTGTCCAACTTGTTGCCACCCCATGCACTGTTGCCTTCCAGGCTCCTCTGTCTGTGGGATCCTCCAGGCAAGAACACTGGGAGTGGGTTGCCATTTCCTTCTCCAAACTTATTTAGGAACATGTCTATCTTATAAAGAAAACCTGCCCTTTAACTTCTGCACCATAAAACAAATATTAGTGAATCCCACAGATAAGGTTTACTTGTTACTAAGAAAAGAAAATGCAAAGATTCATATAACCTAAGAGGATGCCAATTAAAAATGAGCTTAATTCTCTGACTAAAAGATAGAAATTAGCGTACTTAGAAAATTCTCCACGCTTTGGTATCTTACTATGGAGTCCATGGATGGGCTCTGGTGAATCCGCAGATGAAATTATATAGGATATTGTGCTTGGTCATATGTGCATTTGGAGCGGAGGTGGTCTAGTTCTTTGGTACCACTCTGAGTTTAGACATGGGGCAGAGAGAATGCCCTAACATTTCTGTACCTTCTTAGTCTGGAATAAAAGCACGGCCAGAACCCTCTGCTGGTCCTTTTCATTTTGGAGGTTCTACTTCCAGAATTTTAAAATATATGTTAATTTGGTCATAAGGACACAAAGTAAGACTTGGGGCCTCCTCAGCTATGTTATCACTTTTTTCACAGTAAGCTTTCTAGATTATCTTGGAGTTGAATTTAGAAGCTAGTAGTGTTTTTACTGAGTGCAGTTAAGGAGAAACTCTGTATATGTGTGTTTCATATCTGAAAAATAGTAGGTATTGAAAAGACATGTACTGAGTAAATGGATGAGTGAATAAAATGCATTTCAAAATGAATGAATCTCCAAATATTTATTTTAATTTTTTAAAGTTACTATATATATTTTTTAAAAATTATTTAATTTTATTTATTTATTTGCTTTTTGCTGCACTGGGTGTTTGTTGCTTTATCCAGGCCCTGTCCAGCTGCAGCAAGCAGGCTCGAGCGCAGGCTAAGTAGTTGTGGCACACGGGCTTATTAATCGTTGCTTCCCAGCATGCGGAATCCTCCTGTGCCAGGGATCGAACCTGCACCCGCTGCATTGGCAGGTGGTCTCTTATCCACTGTGCTACCGGGGAAGTCCCCAAATGTTTAGAATTATGTAATTTAACTTTTTAAAGTGTCATAATTTCTTTATTCATTTATTTACACTCTTAATAAAAATTGGATCTTTTATATACTTGGACTCGGCTGAAATTCAGAGATTAAAGAGCTCCCCCATATGATGAAGAGGGGCTGACAAATAACAAGGCGTGTAATCTAACTTCTTAAATGAAGTCCATGCTTGTTTAAAACAGGGAATTGGAAAAGAGGATTGAAACAAGGCTTCTTCTGTTTCCACTGTGATCTTCAGCAGGAGAAGACTACCCACCTATACTGGTCATCAATGATTTTGTCTATGTTTCCATAAAATCTTTGAGTAATTGATAAATTTTTGTTTGTGTAATTTTAGCTATCCAACTTGACAAAGTCAATCTTCAAGTATACTGTGCCTGGTCTCTCCTGGATAACTTTGAGTGGAACCAGGGATATAGCAGCCGGTTTGGTCTCTTCCACGTTGATTTTGAAGATGCAGCAAGACCCCGAGTCCCTTACACATCAGCCAAGGAGTATGCTAAGATCATCCGAAACAATGGCCTGGAGGGACCTCCATAGAAAGCACAACTGGGTAATTTCACCTGGAGAAGGACTCTCTGCCCTCGGAAACGGAATCTGCTTTGGTGATCCTGCAGACATCCTCAGGTTGCTTTGGTAACCAGCGTTTCCTACCAGCTGATCTGTGATCATGAAGTCTGAATATGTAGTGCCTGGAAATTATTTAATGATGGCTTTTACTCTATTTGTATTTGATCGATGAGGCTTTTGAAAAAGTAGAAAACCACTGCAATGGATTTTTGTATTAAGAAATCAGATGGACTTGGTAGCTTCAATTTAAATCCTTAGATTTTTTTTTTCTAGAAAAAGTAATCCACAATTTATAAACAGGGTGTGCTCATGATTTGCAGCTCTAAGAACAAATCGCTTAATTTAAGAAGGCTTGTTTATGAATCTATTTTTTTTTGTTTACATCAACTGTTATTTGCCTTAGCAGGTCCACTGTCCATAACTTTCTACTATTTAATCTAGTATAGATATCAAAATTAAAAGTTAGTCACATTATCAGAGAACTTCAGGAGAGAGTTCTGCAGAGCTGAAAAGAAAAAGAACTGGCAGGGTATCTGAAATTGTATTTGAACATTTGGAAAACTTATGAATAGACTTGATAGAATTGATGAAGCATTTTAAAAAATTAATAAAGGGCACATTTAAAAAGTCACATTATATCTTTATACATTCTGTTCACCAAAGGAGTTAATTAATAACCTACTTAATAAAATTGATTGGTTCATGTGTTTGGCACATAGCTATGCATGAGCAAGTACATGTCTCTCTTGTCTGATAAACTTTTGGAAAACAGTAAATTAATAACACAAACCAGAATGCGAATAGCAAAAGAAGTATTTGAGCATTGTCATTTAACAGCAATTGGATTTCTACACTATTAGTTAGTTAGTTCAGTCACTCAGTAGTGTCCGACTCTGCGACGCCATGAACTGCAGCATGCTAGGCTTCCCTGTCCGTCACCAACTCCCTGAGCTTGCTCAAACTCATGTCCAGCAAGTCGGTGATGCCATCCAACCATCTCATCCTCTGTTGTCCTCTTCCCCTCCTGCCTTCAGTCTTTCTCAGGATCAGGGTCTTTCCCAATGAGTCAGTTCTTCACATCAGGTGGCCAAAGTATTGGAGTTTCAGCTTCAGCATCAGTCCTTCCAATGAATTTTCAGGACTGATTTCCTTTAGGATACACTGGTTGGATCTCTTTTCAGGCCAAAGTACTCTCAAGAGTCTTTTCCAACACCATAGTTCAAAAGCATCAATTCTTTGGCTCTCAGCTTTCTTTATAGTCCAACTCTCACATCCATACATGACCACTGGAAAAACCATAGCTTTGACTAGATGGAGCTTTTTTGGTAAAGTAATGTCTCTGCTTTTTAATATGCTGTCTATATTGGTCATAGCTTTTCTTCCAAGGAGCAAGCTTTAATTTCATGGCTGCGATCACTATCTGCAGTGATTTTGGAGCCCAAAAAATAAAGTCCGTCACAGTTTCCATTGTTCCCCATATGTTTGCCATGAAGTGATGGGACCGGATGCCATGATCTTAGTTTTTTGAATGTTGAGTTTTAAGCCAACTTTTTCACTCTCCTCTTTCACTTTTATCAAGAGGCTCTTTAGTTCCTCTTAGCTTTCTGCCATAAGGGTGGTGTCATCTGTATATGAGGTTATTGATATTTCTCCCAGCAATCTTGATTCCAACTTGTGCTTAATCCAGCCTGGCATTTGGCATGATGTACTCTGAATATAAGTTAAATAAGCAGGGTGACAATGTACAGCCTTGACATACTCCCTTCTCAATTTGGAACCAGTCTGTTGTTCCATGTCCGGTTCTAACTGTTGCTTTTTGACCTACATACAGATTTCTCAGCAGGCAGGTAAGGTGATCTGGTATTCCTATCTCTTTCAGAATTTTCCACAGTTTGTTGTGACCTACACAGTCAAAGGCTTTGGCATAATAGTGACACCACATTAAAAACAAAAGAAGGAGCAGAGTATAGTCTCTACTTTTGGGTATTTTTAAAAATTAAGGATCCATTAGAACATTGATGACAACCAGGAAATAAGTACGAGTTAACTGACTGACATGAGCAGAAGCAAAGGAGGGTATAGTTTGTTACCTTGGTGTTTGAAATGTCTAAGATTTATGTGAGGGTGGTTGGACTTGGATATTTTACTGAGCTTCCTCAGTAAAGACTGAAGGAGATGTAGGGCCCCCTCTGGACTTCATGGCTTCACTCCAGTGAATCTCTTACATATGTACAGTTTGTGCCTTCACATATATATTCAAGTAATACTTACTAAGCATTCATGTATCAGGCTTGAAGTGGTGAAATAAGTATTATCATCCCACTTTGCAGACTGAAACACTGAGGCCACACCAATGGTCATCTTCCTTAAGCCACTTCTGTGTTTACTGGCCCTGGCTCTTCCCTGGCATCAGCTCTGTTTCTGTCTAGCACAATCTAGATCGGTTCAGTTCAGTCACTCAGTCATGTCCAACTCTTTGTTACCCCATGGACTAGAGCATGCCAGCCCTCCCTGTCCATCACCAATTCCCGGAGTTTACTCAAACTCATGTCCATTGAGCCGGTGATGCCATCCAACCATCTCATCCTCTGCCATCCCCTTCTCTCGCCTTCAGTCTTTCCCAGCATCAGGGTCTTTTCAAATGAGTCAGTTCTTTACATCAGGTGGCCATCAGTCTAGATCAAGGTGTCACAGAAGTTGTTTCTGCATTTTTTTTTTAAAGTAAGAAAGAAACAAATGTATGGAGTTACTTTATGCAGGAGGAAATGGGGAAGTTGGTTTTCTGTACTCTCCTTCTGCTTTCTTGAGGAAATGGCAGATATTTTGTGATTCTCCTAAGGCTTCAGGCCTGAGCAGACGTCCTGCATTTTTATTTTTATTTATTTATTTTTCCATTTATTTTTATTAGTTGGAGTCTAATTACTTTGCATCATTGCAGTGGTTTTTCTCATACATTGAAATGAATTAGCCATGGATTTACATGTATTCCCCATCCTGGTCCCCCCTCCCACCTCCCTCTCCACCCGATCCCTCTGGGTCTTCCCAGTGCACCAGGCCCGAGCACTTGTCTCATGCATCCAACCTGGGCTGATAATCTGTTTCACCCTAGATAATATACATGTTTCGATGCTGTTTTCTTGAAACATCCCACCCTCGCCTTCTCCCAGAGTCTACAAGTCTGTTCTATACATCTGAGTCTCTTTTTCTGTTTTGCATATAGGGTTATCGTTACCATCTTTCTAAATTCCATATATATGTGTTAGTATACTGTAATGGTCTTTATCTTTCTGGCTTACTTCGCTCTGTATAATGGGCTCCAGTTTCATCCATCTCATTAGAACTGATTCAAATGAATTCTTTTTAATGGCTGAGTAATATTCCATGGTGTATATGTACCACAGCTTCCTCATCCCGTCCTGTCATTTTTAAAATTCATGGCTAATTCATTTCAATGTATGACAAAAACCACTGCAATGATGTAAAGTAATTAACCTCCAACTAATAAAAATAAATGGAAAAAAAAATAAAAAGCACTATGGTCACTGCTATATTTAAAATGTATAACCAACAATGACCTACTACTATATACCACATGGAACTCTGCTCTACCTTATGTGGTAGCCTGGATGCAAGGGAGGGTTTGAGGGAGAATGGATACATGTATATGTATGGCTGAGTCCCTTTGCTGTTCATCTGAAACTACCACAACATTGTTAAGTGGCTATACTCAAATACAAAATAAAAAGTTAATAACAACAAAACACTGTGGTCAGTTTCTGGACTGTTTTCATGTTCATAATCAGGAAATTATTTGTATCAAAGTACATTCTCTCAGCAACTTTGGTCAGAGTGAGAAAGAAATGATCGTAGTAGTTCAATAAATGTGGATGCACTAGGGAAAATTATATTAAGATTAAAATGGTGTACATAGGAAATTCTATTGCATCTTTGCCACTGGTTTGTTATTTTTATTGTTCAATGAGACATAATCTCACAATTTGTGTTCATTTAGACAGCAGGTTTCCAAATCTTATTTTATTCCTCTCCTATCCAGCCTGTCTTTTTCATTTTTACCATGTATCTTATTTACAATTTATGTGCCTTTCCTTATATTATCTTGCAAGATAACTGAGCTTTCCTTTTAATTAGGACGTTGCTTTGAATATTACTTATCCTATAGAACATATTTATAAGTTTTACAGCAATACAAATGAGCATTGTATTTTCGTTACCAAAACCAGAAAATTGTTACTCGCACTGTGATAAAATGATCTGTCACTTTTGGTCTGCCAGGTGAAACAAACAATCTAGCTGCAGTGGCCATGCAGCCTGGCAGTGTGGTGGCCTCCACAGACTTCTGCTGTATTAGAAAGGCCAGCTCTTTGTCCCAGAGATGGATCAACCAAAGTGTTTCCCTCATTAGCCCTGTAAATAAAAATTAAATTAGGTTAAAGAGAGGGGGAAAAAATCCACCAGCACAAACCCTAACAGCCTTGGTAGTATTTTAATTAATGTTATTTTTAAATTGCTTGTATTGGCATTTGGGAACAAAATTGATTGGCTTTTGCCTGTCAGAGAAACAGAACTTGGATTCTTTAGACGGAAAAACAGGAGTTGTTAATTATACTTAAAAATCCATAGATACTGGACTTCAGATGTCTTGAAGGTCATCTGAGACTTGTAAAGCACATGTTTTATGTCTGTTTTATCTAAGGAGAAACTTGAATATCACAATGATGGATTGGATCCACTCGTATTTCTCTTTACCCTCCTTCTTTGATTTTTTTTTTTTTAAAAGAGATGTGAACACATTATTAGCATCCTGGGGATCACTTTTAGAGTTTTTTTTTTGATAGTTTTAATTTTAGGGTAATTCATTTCTGAGTTCCTAAAAACATGCAGAAAGTAATAGTATTCCCTTTTCATTTTGTTATGTGAGGCTGGTTTTAAAATTCCTGTGAACACCAGGAAATGTCCGCTTAAGTCCTTTATTGAATGAACAGTACAAGTTCTCATTAAGAAACCCATAAACTAAGACACTTGCAACCTTGATATTTGGCAGCAGAGTGCCAGTCAGGCTTTTGTGGTCTGGGAATTTGTGTTTGGCCTGTAGGTTTTAATTATTTTTGTGAATGAGAGAATAATGAATACATTTGTAATATATTGAAAAAATTCTCCAGCACTGGCTGACCAAAAAGTAGATTTATATGGTAATCCTTAAACACCAACTCTATTGCTCAGCGCTAGGCAGAAAGAAAACAGAAGATTGAGCTTCACTATTGAGAGAGCAGAATAAATCAAAGCTGATGGAATTAATACTGTTTAATTACTAGCAGTGTTCCCTACCTGGAGAGCACATACTCATCACTGATCATGATAATTTAGGCCCTAGTTGTCCTGGGAGGGATACAATACACAGCACAAAGCATGATGAGCCTCAAAGAATGAAATTAGAAGACATTTTGATATAGAGGCACTCATGGTGGCCTTATAGTTATGGGTTGTGGCAGCAGGAAGGGAGAAGAAACCTTATAGATGGTGGCAGTAGGTGAGAGCATTACTTTGCTAGCATGTGAGATGAGTGCAATTGTGCAGTAGTTTGAACATTCTTTGGCACAAACTACTGCATAATTGCACTCATCTCACATGCTAGTAAAGTAATGCTCAAAATTCTCCAAGCCAGGCTTTAACAGTATGTGAACTGTGAATTTCCAGATGTTCAAGCTGGATTTAAGGCAGAGGAACCAGAGATCAAATTGCCAACATCCTCTGGCTCATTGAAAAAGCAAGAGAGTTAGAAAAACATCTACTTTTGCTTTATTGACTACACCAAAGCCTTTTACTGTGTGGATTACTACAAACTGTGGAAAATTCTGAAAGAGATGAGAATACCAGACCACCTGACCTACCTCCTGAGAAATCTGTATGCAGG